GTGATTTGGCTTGTGGAGGGGTTTTGATGCCAGTGACGTAAGAAGCGAGGTGTTGGCCTCTCTGTGACAATTACAAGATTTAAGAAAGATTGGCCGTGACAGGTGAGGCCCTGATTGTACTACAATGCAAGATTTTAGCTATGTGTTGGGCCATTGGGCTTTGTACCTCCTAGCGTGAGGATGGGAGTTGGCCTTGCTGGTCCTCTAATCTAAGATGAAGAAGCCTATGAAAGTTTTTTTTTTTCATTCTTTATTTTAGTTGTGGATAAGTTAGACATGCACATTTGCAAGCCACAACAGATGTTGCAAACTTAATCAAGAGACATAGGAAAACAATTCTTAGCTTTTGATGATACTGCACATTTTTGTTAAAGTAAATATCAAGATAATACACATACACATATATACTAAACTTCAATACAGGGTTTTTGGCTAAACGCAGTTGCCATGAGAGGCCTCATTTGTGGATCTGACACATGCTATATGCACTCCATTCTTTACTCTGTGAGCTCATAGAAGGCAGACATTACAAGAGTTGAGAGCTTTACTAACTAAACCGGGAGCATTGCGTAGTTTAAATACGCGTCTGTGTAATCTAGCCATGTTGAGATATGGTTAGGGGTATAACAAAAGATTATAAACAAAATTTTCTACACCAACCGACAAGTTGCCAAATAATAGTATATAAAGACCGCTGGGTATGAGTACATCATAGAACAGTTATTTCACACCTCTGTACAGGGGGAGCTGCTTTTAGTTATGGCCCAACTTAGCTTACACCTATCGTATAATGCATTGTGCCCTGGTGGTTATGGTCATTGGGACCTGACTTTACTGCAATCCCCCTACCCCGAGTCTTATGACAGTTCAAGGTACTTGTATCCCAGGTCCCTTGTCTTTCAGCAGACTTGGCTTTGTGTCAGGTCCGATTAACAGGCTTCTGCGGTGCTCGCTGATGAAGACCCTTCAGCGGGTGTGAGCTGCAGGCATGGGGGGTATCATTATGAGCTGTGGCCTAGAAAGCGCGCTGCTCACAGCCGAATTCTTCAACCGAGGTTGGCGCTGTGGCAGAAGCTCCCGCCTTCGTCTCTTCACCATCCACACTGCGTCAGGGTCTTGCCCAACTGATCATGGCGTGGCTGTGCCTCACGGTGAGTCAAAAGGCTTGACAAATCCACTCAAATTTAGCCCTGAAGGTCTCCTGCCATGGTGGTAAAATTTGCGTTGGCCTGTTGAGGCTGCAGTGCATCCGTCATCTTAGTTGACCACGCGGTCTCAGATTCACTGTGTTGTCGTGTCGACCCCACAGAGGTGTAGGTACACACAGTGGGGACTGGGATATACCCTGACAGTCCAATATGGGGGGGGAGAGGGCTTCTTGGACTTCGGTGGCAAACTTAAACTCGAAGCCGGGAGATCGGCGGTCTCTCCCAACAGCCGGGCCTTTTTAGGACAATTTTAGGTTTTCAAAGAAATAAATAGAGAATCTCTTCTAGTATATAAATCTAGAGATAAGAGAAAGGATGACAAGATTCCAATGATCTTCAATTATAGTAAAGAACATAAAGCACTTAAAAAAGTTCTCAATAAAAACTGGCATATTTTACAACAAGACACGGAGATTTTACCATATATTGAGAACAAACCCAAAATTGTCTTTAGGGGAGCGAAAAATCTTAGGCAAATTCTGACATCCAGTTATCTAGCTAAACCTAGAAATAACAATAATTTTTTAGGTATCTATAGGGATAATAACAAAGGCTTTCATTATTGCGATGACTGTATAGGATGTAAGATATATAAAAATAAACCCAAAAAATTAGACAATTTTAAATCACGAGTAGGTTCGTATAACTATAAAATAGATTCTTTTATTACTTGCCATTCTAAAACTATAATATATGTTCTCGTATGCCCTTGTGGGTTCCAATATGTTGGGAGGACCTCAAGGACACTTAAAACAAGAATACGAGAACATATATATAACATTAAAAAAGGTTTCTTGAAACATAATGTTTCCTTACATTTTTTGAAAAGCCATGGGGGAGACCCTAAAGGGCTTAAATTTTATGGTATTCAACAGATTAAACCTCATTGGAGGGGTGGGCATATAGAATCAGCCTTGAACCGCTGTGAGATGAGGTGGATTTTCAATCTGGACACCTTATCTCCCAGCGGTCTCAATGTGGATTTTGAAATGAAAGTTCTTATATGAGCAATATATTAATTTTAATACTGTTCTTTCTCTCTCCTTTATATATTTTTAGATGTATCTGCTATTATTTACTTTTTTTAAATGAGACATGTCTTAATGTGTCCATATGTACAGCTATCAAATTGCTTGTACATCATCATCTATACAAAATGATTTTTTTATGTTTTTTATTATTATATATTTTGTGGAATATGATTAATATTTGTATTAACAGGGACTGTTTGTTATTATTATACCAAGTTGTATTTGTTTGATACATTTTATACATGTATGTGCAAAGTTATTAGGTGTTCTATAATATAATTGAGTGCCCTCAAACGAAATGGAACTTTATGTGTCACTTCCGGTTCGCCGAGTGGACCTACAGGAAGTGACGTAATGACGATACGTGCGTCATGACGCAATGACGGAACGTGCCTCATGACGTCATACCGGAAGAAGATTCTGGTGGGAGAATCGAATTTCCGGAAATACAGACTTAAAAGGAAAGCCGGATGAAGAATCTGATATGCACTTGAAAAAGACAGTTTGTCGAAACGCGTTGTGTTTTATTATACTATTTTTTATTATATTGTTATTTTATATGAAGTAAATACTTTTTTAAAAGCTTTAATATTTTGGTCTACCATCCATCTTTCCTGCATCTGGAGCCAGATACCAGTATTCATAGGAGGATCGAGGGGCCATTCTGTACAGCCTGGAAAAGCTGATTTTCCACATGCGATCAAGTTAGAGTCTGCTCTTTAGGCTCTATCTATTGTAAGTGACCCAATACCTGTGTTTACATCTTTCTGTATTTTACAGTATTACACTATGTATGGACTTTTATATCTTTCAGATTAAGCCCAAGAAACATTTACTTATAAGTATATACGTTTTATGTTTTATATCTATATATTGCACCCCCCACTTTGTTATTTTGTTTTATCACTATTTGGCAGTGTCTTTGAGTGATTTGTAGACACTGGGGGTAGTTGCTGTTCTGTGTTTTAAGCGCCAATCCACCTGCACTTATTCCTTCCTTTTTTAGGTGGAATTTTGTTTTTTGTCTAGTTTTTTAAAGACTTATAATTAATTAATGGATTGCATAGGACCTAAAAAACCTATAGTCATATAGTAGTAGTGAACATCAGGCCATGTACATGAGGAGTGAGAAAACTAAATAGCAAGGAAAGTGAGAGACATGGCTTCAGTGGTCCAGGTAGAAGATTGGTAAGCACCTAGAACTCTGTCATCAGATGTTACATCCTGGAAAGGCAGTCGCATCACTTTAGCTATACCTATATATAGCTCCTTGCATCTCCCTTCATCAAATTCCAAGTCCTTTATATTTACCTGCATCTCTGCACTTTTCAATAACTCTGTCAACATGTAAAGTGAAGAGGCACTCAAAGCTTGTGCAAGAAAAATGGGACATTTATTTGTGAACTGACAATGTAACATTTTGGCATAGCAGAAACTAAGCTCTGAAGTGTACAAAACAAAAACAAAAATCCAATTTTTTATTATCTTTATATGTTGACTTTGAAGGATTGGCCAGCTTACATAAAAGGACACTCCAGACACCTAAATCTCTATAGCTTGCTTAGGTGCTTTATGCATGAAGGGTTTGTCCTATTTTTTTAGTTTTAAAAAGAGTGCAGATTTGAATAGAAAATGGGACTTTTATAAATTAACCTGGTTACAGCCTCTAACTACAGGACTACAACTGACTGAAGAAGCTCAGGAAGGAGTGAAGCACATTTTAGCTGACTTTGGACTTTAATTTCGTACAAGTGTATTTTGTATTTACCCTAAATGTTTTATTTGTTATAATAAATGTAATAAATATTTCCATCAAGTCCTCTGGAACATCAAGAATCTTCATAGGGGAGGTGCCATCCCCAGAATTTTGGCACTATACTTGTTGCTCCCAGAGCCAGGATTTTAGGCTCTGGAAAATGTGACCTTGATACCTACTCTACATTTTAAAGGTGGAGGAAATTTGGAAGAAATGCTAATAAGTAGAAGTGCTATGATGCTGTCCCAAGAACAGAAAAGTTAATCTGATTTTATATTAAAAATTTGGTGTACATTTCAGTACCATCTGCACTATATTGTGTCCTTTTTCTTTGTCTTTTATGTACTTGACATAAACCTTTTGTTTATCAATAATACGTGGGGTAAGTTAAACCCCTTCATAAATTACATTTATAATGGCGTTCCTTAAGATGTAAGCTTGACATATACTATGAGTTTGTTTGTATTGATTGTGGAGGGAGAGGGTATTCCACACAAAGTATAGAGCTGCTATTGCCGTTTTTGTAAAACACATTGCCACCTAGTGGAGGTTCTCTTTTCTTTTAATGTAGGCTGTTTTTAAATGATAAAATATGCATAATTAAAGGTACACTATAGGTACCCAGACCAATTCAGTTCATTGAGGTGGTCTGGGTGCAGTGTCCCTATTGCACTCAGTGCTGCAGAGAAAATGCAATGTTTACATTGCAGTACTAAGTATGTCTCCAGTGACTGTCTTCCACCTTTGGTCCGGTAACTGACACTGGATGTCTTCACGCTCTGCATGAGGACATCCAGCATCAGATTTTCCCCCATAGGAAAGCATTGAAAGCATTAGCGCCCGCTTGTCGCGGGATGGAGGAGGAGATGGAGCTGCGACCCAGGGCTAAGGGACATTAGTGTTGGGGTAAGGTAAGTAAATAAAGGGTTTTTAACTAGTGATGTCTCGAACGGTTCGCCGCGGACTCATCATTGAGTAAATTTTGACCCTGTACCTCACAGTCAGCAGACACATTCCAGCCAATCAGCAGCAGACCCTCCCTCCCAGACCCTCCCACCTCCTGGACAGCTCACTAAGAATACATCTTCACAATGAATGTAAAATGGATGCTGTCCAGGAGGTGGGAGGGTCTGGGAGGGGGGGAATGCTGCTGATTGGCTGGAATGTGTCTGCTGACTGTGAGGTACAGGGTCAAAGTTTACTCAATGATGAGTCTGTGGCAAACCTTTCGCGAACCGTTCGGGACATCACTATTTTTAACCCTTTATTAACCACCATGGGGGTGGTGCATGGAAATTATAGTGCTAGGAATACAGCTTTGTATTAATGGCACTTATAGTATCCCTTTAAATGCATGTTTCATTGAGGACATATTTACCTAACAGTGATTTTTTTTATTTTTTTTTGTGGAGTAGAGTTTTTCTTTGAATAAAAAGAAAAAATAAATCTTTGTATATTGCACAACATCCCTTTGTCCTATTTATTTTGTATGATGGCTAAAATATACCGGTCAATAAGAAATTTAATGTAGGGCTGAAATAAAATTCCATTTGAGCTAATAAAGGACAAGATGCCAATAGAACAGTATTGCTTTTTTTATTGTTATTGTACTATAAAATCTTAACCACTCAATAGATACAACAAAACCGGAAAAAAAACACATTTGTATCTCTCTATAAAAAAACACCTATAAAAACAGCACAATTGGTGTCAAACGGACATCAATAAGTAAAATGCATAAACAAATGCATAAATATTAAACAATCGAAACTAAGCATTGTTTGTGCTTTACAGTACAGTATGAATATAGACGCAATAGATAAAGTGTATAAATGTGTTATAATAGGCCGGGATATTAACTTTGAACACTCCAAATTAGTCTGATCAATGGGTTTTACTTGCTGGTTCAATATCTCCTTTCTGATGGATTCATTCCCACTAGTTCTGCTAGTTAGTATTCCAAACGGCTTTTATAGGTTCTGCTCTGTTATAACATTAACGTTTATTCACAAAAACAGAAAACTGTAGTGAAATAAAAGCAGAATCGCAAAATGTAATACCCAATAACAATTCCCAAACAACAAGTATAGCTGAGTTGGAAAATCGAATTTATTTCCTAACCATAGCTGTAGCAGTCTTCTGCCTCTCTTGGCAAATTGAATATTGTTGTAATTACTGCCCAAAGTAATGGCTGGCATTTTATTGACCTCTGGAGTTTGAAACGCTTAGTTGACCTTGATGAATTTTAACAGATACTAAGAATAACAAAGCAGGAGTATTATTCAAATCATTATCACACCAAGTATTATACTGTTCATATTTTTATCACTGATATTATTAGCTGCGTTATACCGTCATGAAATATGTGGCATGATATAATGTCAGGTAGTACGTCAAGACCTGGTTATGGACTGCTACCTTGACTTGCAGTAAAACTCGATCGGTTTGGCATGTTTTTGTCTAGTCACACACCCTTTATTCCAGTGTCACCAGGGACACTTTTTATAGACTGAAGGACTTTATTTGTTTTTTCCTTTTTTATTTGCGTATATCTATCTTTGGACATATTAGATGCATGAATGCCAGGAAAAATACAGCTATTTTATTTTACAGACTTGTTTAGCTTTTACAGCTGAGAAGCTCACTGACTGACATGTTGATGGGTCAGCCCTCTCTTTACTTAGTTTTGACTTCATGTTTCTACCTGGATAAGCAATACGGTGGCAGTATAAGCATGCCCCAGGTAAATATGTTTCCACGTTAGGGTTAAAAGAAATTTCCAGACAAAGTAATAAAAACTGATCAAATGAAGCCTGACTTTTGTACATACACTTGTTTGTTTGTTGTTTTGTGTGTATATCCTAAACTCCCTGTTAATTTATATTAGGATATTTGATGTGCCGGGGCTGTTTAAACCTCTTTGAAAAGAATAACTATTTTAAAACAAAAGTCATCAATATATAAATGATCATACATGTTCAAGGATTACCTACTAAAATCAGAATGTGCATCCAAATTGTATCATTCTGGAACTGAGGACCACCTGGAGATTACATATAAAATTTCGCATCAGCCCAAAGTCTGGATTTTTTGCACACTAAGAACAAGGGCATTAACAAATCAACAAACACATCTGAATGTCCCCCTAAAAGTGACAATTTAATTTATTTTAATTCTGAGAATGTGTTTAACAATTTATTGTTTGATTGTCTTCATTTTTTAAATCATATTCTTGGATTTTTTTTTTTTTTTTAAGGATCTATTGGTATGCATGGAAAGAAGTGAAATTATCAACAACACAGCATATTTAAGGGTAAAAAAAAACTTGGGATTTGCAGTAGGTGGACCAAAGAAAATATCTTTCGTTGTTGATTTTGGACTACTCTCCTTCTGATATTTAGAGTTTCCTGATGCACTACATACACTGCAAGTGCAGCCTAGCCCTGGGGATTTGTATTAATGTAATGTGACTTTAACAACAACAATAACAATAGTACATATAAAAAAACAAAACCCCAAATCTGGTTGAAAATCCAAATAGTACTGTCTTCGTGCCAGTCATAACTGGGCCTGGGGTCAGCTAATATAACTAGAACAATTTGGAGAAACTGTACACATGTAGAATATTTTTTTATTTGTCTTATTATTATTTTATTATTATTATTATTATTAATTACTGCTCTAAATGATTTAGCCAATGGAATAAAAGGACAATGTGTAACCAAAATTATCTGGGTTTCTTTTTCCATTTGATGTAATAAATTAAAAAAATACTCACAAATTAGAGAGATTGTCTTTAAAGTTGTATGAACCCTCTTCAATGTTTCAACCCAAATAAATAGTCCTTAATAAATCATTTTAACTTGTTTTCATCATTTCAGTAATTCAGTTTTCAGAATTTCTCTCAGTTTTTGCAATTTCCGGTTAGTTTTCTTTAGCACAAGGTTCAAGTGGAATATACAGTTCTCACCAATATCTCCTCTCGTCAGATACTCCCCACTATGCGTCAATCCTTTTCTCGGTGTGTGTCCTTCTAGTGACTCAAGTTAATTGAATACCCATAACAATCATGTCATTATTTAGAAAAAAATTGTGTGTAAGCAATAAGGTCATGTTAAGTGAAACATCCCAAACAGACTGCATTTTGTGGCATTTGCAGACATTTTACGTAATTTGACTACCCTTCACTATTCCAAACAATGACAGCAAATAGATTACACAACTTTCCCCAAATCGAGGGCAAACAAAGAAAAAAACCAAACACCGTAGAAGTGAAAAAGAAATTGTAGGCAGCCGTAATGTTTGGACTCAGTGACCTGCAGAAAATCACTAAGGGGTTGGCAACAGATAATGGCATATGGGATAAAATGTTTCAAGTATGTGTTATTCCTAATTTCTTTTGAAATGTATAAACAATAATGTTAATCAATTGCCTTTCAGAAGTATCTTGAAATTGGTGTGCCATAGAACTCACACAATAGATCAGCATAAAGTAGAACTTGATTAACAGCTCATGGGTACAATGTATTTCAGGATCCAAGTATGAAAGAAAGGTCATCAACAAGATGTATGGCCTTTAATAGGAGGTCACTTTCATTTTACAATTAATTCAATGTCTCTGCAAAGCTGGCAGAAAACACAGATCTAGACCCAGGTTCATACAAACAGGGAGGTAGTGTGGGTACAAAAACAAACAAGTATAACAGCTGGTGGGGGAGGGTGGTTACCAGGTAATGGAGTAAATGGGGGTTTACCCTTCATCATTTCTGTCACTCTTTTTATCATGGAGAGCAGGACCACAGTAGGGGATCTTCATGCATCTCTACCTGGTATGTTTGGGATGCTCCATGATGGAATCCACAAAGGGGGGCACAAAATGAGATGAGTGGGAAAGGAAAGACACCAACAAGGCTGTCTTGGGGGCATAGAAAGAGATACAATGGAATAAGGAGGGACATAAATTGGGGTAAAGAGGTGAGGAGAGACACAAGAGAAGGTGAAAGGGTGCAAAGAGACACAAGGGGTGAAGCCACATTTTTTTTTTATTCTAAGGGGTGCCAACTGGCAAATCATCCCAGAGTACCAACTAATTTATATATGCCTCTATCTCGTGCACTTGGTTGATGACTCAACTCTTCTTGATGTTTTAAAGTACAAAAATAATGCCATCATAATTAATGTTTTGATACATTTAATGATTTATCTGTCTGTTTTAAACTTTAATTCTGAATATATTTTAGAAGAGACTTTTCTCATTATTTTCTAGCCATGGAAAGAATATTTACAAACAGTAATACTAGGGCAAGGGTTTGTGTGGATCTAAACGTCAGAGAGGGATGAGGAAATTACTCCCTTTTCACTCTATGTAGAGTTATCCATATATATTACTGTGTATATTAGCCACAGTAATAGTTCAGTCTTTTGATGTTGCAGCAGAGTCATGGCTAGCTGCTGATTTTTCATATATGTTCATAAAATCCCAAGACTAAGTCTACTAAAAGTAGTATCTAATATTAAACCGAAATAGCAAATTTTGCCAACATCTGGGCTGTAAGAAATACTTGCTCAAATGATTGATGCGTTCAGTAGATAGCCATATGGGAGTTATTGTCTAAGTAGTTATTCTCAATCGTAGTGAGAAGAGGCTATACAGGACAAGTGACTTTTTGTGGGTACAAGGAAAAATCAGCACTACTGTGTCTGCTGAATTATAGTGTAAAGGAAGGTCTAGACGGGGTAACTGACACCGTTCTGTAGTAAATAGAGAGAGTACTTTGTTATCAGCACAGGGTCCTGGCGAGAGGTTCTCTCCATGTAGCGTGAGGGTCTATGCAGGTTTTATTTAAGGGGTGCCCTCGAAGGCACAAGCATTTAGGGCATTTGAGAGTTAGGATATAGATAATTATATCCCTTCCTTTAAATTTTGACTTACCAGTGGTTTTCGGCAGAATATCTTGAAACTACCACCTGTCATTGCATTAGGCTCTCTATTTACTCAAGCGTACCCACTTACCCTTCCCAAATACATCAGTCTTAGAGCGGCGAATCCTGAAGGAAATATGGTCTGCTGCGCAAATAACATCACCAAAAAGCACCCCCCGCACTCACTGACAACTAGGGCACACTAGGGCACACTAGCTCCCCGATCCGCATGGCCCCAAAGAATACCAGGG